AAAGGCATGTATATCGTTCCAATTGATGGTTATTGACTTATTGTATCTACTGTTAAGGTTTTGTTATTTCGATATCTAATTTGGCGTCCCATTTTAGTTTAAAATTTGATGTGAGAAGTGAGAGCTTATATTGACTATCCGATTTTTTCCCTTAGGAAATGAAGATCCAAGGAATTGAAGAAAACCGTCTCCAATTGTTACAAGATGTCAGTGGTGTTTTTAGACCTGGAATTCTGACAGCCTTAGTTGGTGTTAGTGGTGCTGGAAAGACCACCTTGATGGATGTTCTAGCTGGAAGAAAGACTGGAGGGTACATTGAAGGAAGTATTAACGTATCTGGTTATCCAAAGAACCAAGAAACATTTGCTCGAGTTAGTGGATACTGTGAGCAGAATGATATTCATTCACCACACGTTACTGTTTATGAATCTCTTATATACTCGGCTTGGCTGCGTCTTGGCCCAGAAGTACTTAAGGAAATAAGAAAGGTCTGTAATTTATTTTCTAGAATCATCCATCCTTCCTCCTCTTTGCTTTTTTTTTTTTATCTGAATCTCAATTTCTTTGCTTTTGACAATTATTAGCTTTGTTGTACAAAATGCTAAGAACATGACATTTAGTGGATACTGTTAATTGTGGTTTTTTCTGGATGCCTTAGATGTTTGTCGATGAAGTTATGGACTTGGTTGAACTTACTACACTGAAGGATTCGCTAGTTGGTCTTCCAGGAGTAGATGGTCTTTCAACTGAACAAAGAAAGAGGCTCACAATAGCTGTTGAGTTGGTTGCTAATCCATCAATCATTTTTATGGATGAGCCAACATCAGGTCTCGATGCCAGAGCTGCAGCTATTGTTATGCGGACTGTGAGAAATACAGTGGATACAGGACGAACTGTTGTCTGTACTATTCATCAACCGAGTATAGACATTTTCGAAGCTTTTGACGAGGTATAAATTTTTAGCAGGGTTATTTTTGGGCGTGTCCTTGTTTCTGTACTGCTTCAATTTACTTTATACCGTGTTTTGTTTGCAGCTTCTGTTGATGAAGAGAGGAGGACAAGTCATTTATGCCGGACCTCTAGGTCGTCGTTCCCGCAAGCTTACAGCCTATTTTGAAGTGAGTAATGTTCACGAACTTGGATAATACATTCTAGATTATTGGTCTAAGGCATGTCTAACATATACTTCAGTATCTTTTGAGAATAAGTTTTCAGTTATCCATCCTTAAAAAGAAAAGTTGGAAAGCTTGTTTTTACTCGTTTCACAAGATAAGAGGAAAAAAAAAGCCTCAGAAAACAAATTTGTTGAATGCATCAGAGAAGAAAATCTCAGATGGTAGGGACAATTTTATACATCGTTGGCTCTATTTTTTTAATGCCAATAATGGCTTTCTTCTTCTTCTGATTAAGATTTATGTGCGAGAAAAAACAAAGAGATAATAATTTTAGATGAATTACGAGTTCCTACAACCTAAAAAATCTAATTTCATAGATCCACAGCAAATAATGCGAGAACGATAAGTTGGAAAGCTTCTCTTCCTCAACAATGTAGTGTTATAGATCAATTAGTTGGGCCATTTAGGTTGTTTCATATTTTCATATTGAAGCATTATATATCCTATGCATGGATTTGCACAGTGCTACAACGAAGCAAGTATGAATATTATTATACAAAGCATATGATATATTCGAATTCTTTGAAGCAGAGAGTCTAGGAATGGGTTTCAAGAATTCCACATGAATTCTACAAAATATTATGCTGCTTAGTGATCTGTTAATACTTAACTTCTCTTTTCACCAATTTTTACAACGGTGAATTCAGTTGACTATTGTACAGACTATGTTTCACTTTTTGGGTAGCAAGTACTGCAATTCAGATGCTTTGAAGCTTAGTCTAACTTTAATACTCTCTATCTCCTTGCAGGCCATTCCAGGAGTCCCCAATATCAAAACTGGTTATAATCCCGCTACATGGATGCTTGAAGTCACAGCTGCTTCAATTGAGGCTCAATTAGATGTGGATTTTGCACAGATTTATGCCGATTCTGATCTTTATGAGTAAGTGGAAATGAATCTACATTATGTGCAATTTAATCCTATCCCCTGCTTATCTATCTATTAAGTATTGTTGCTTACATTGTTTTTGCTCTTAATGCCTACTGTAGGAGGAACCAGGAATTAATCAGAAAGCTAAGCATTCCAGCACCAGGTTACCAGGATCTTTACTTCCCTACAAAATACTCTCAAAAGTTTATTGCTCAATGCACGGCTTGTTTCTGGAAACAATATTGGTCATACTGGAGAAATCCACGATACAATGCGATCCGGTTTTTCATGACAATACTTATTGGTTCTCTATTTGGTTTAATCTTTTGGGGAAAAGGCGATCAGACGTAAGACTGAGTCTTTACATAGTTTTGGTTACACAGTTATACATAAACTAGGTTATATGAAGTGATGACAACTAGACACCCTTGTCTATTCACAGTGCAAAACAACAAGACTTGCTTAATTTGCTGGGAGCAATGTATGTGGCTGTAGTTTTTCTTGGAGCGACCACTGCTGCTTCAGTGCAGTCTGTTATATCGATAGAGAGAACAGTATTTTACCGTGAAAGAGCAGCAGGAATGTATTCAGCATTGCCTTATGCATTTGCTCAGGTTAGAAATTGATCTTCTTATGAGTTCAACCTGATAAATTATTTTTCAATCAAGTGAATTGAAGAAAGAGGCAGTGAATGTGAGTTGCGCTATATAATATACCAGCATTACAAGACATTGATCACCTTTAATTTCAACCTTTGGTATCCATGTATTCAAAGATCCTTTGGTCTTTCATACATCACTTTCCCCAACAACTTGCACATGATCTGCATTCTAATTTCCGAAGCCTTTGTAATAATTTGCTAAAGATAGTGTTATTGATGACCCCACTCATTGATATACATGAGATTATTATTGCTAACATCTTCCTGTTTTTTTCCCCTGCAGGTGGCTATTGAAGTAGTGTACGTGTCAATTCAAAGTTTTATTTATTCTACACTCCTTTACTCCATGATCGGGTTCCACTGGACTGTGGGAAAGTTTTTCCTTTTCTACTACTTCATGTTCATGTGCTTTATGTACTTTGCCTTGTATGGGATGATGGTGGTAGCACTGACTCCAAGCCCCCAATTTGCTGGAATTCTTATGTCCTTTTTTCTAACCTTGTGGAATCTCTTCTCAGGGTTTCTCATCCCTAGAACAGTAAGTAAAGCTAAAGCCCAGATATATAGATATGAACAATTTCACCATTATACCATAATTATAACTTAACAGGATGCCTCTAACCTTTATTTATTTAGTCCTGTAGCAATTTGCCTTGTTTTTCTGATTTATGGAGGATATAGAAAATCAAATGTTTACAGGATGTACTGCATTCGATTTTTTTGGTATACAATACAGATGAATATGCTGGATTCAGTGTGTATACTATGCCTTATATCTGTTGTAACTTCAACAGAGTATCCTCAGTATTCAGCAATCTGTTTCAGTTATATATACTGTCCTGTGCCATGAAAACGTACTCCTGTCTGCATGATCATTTTTTGTGAAACGTACTCCTGCCTGCATGATCATTTTTTGTGCCCTAAGTATTGCTAAATTAACAATTTCGTTATATAATCATGATTAGTGGACAAAATTCTGCATGCATTGCTTGATGTTACGGTATTCTGACTTCTGAGACTACATTCAATCTTTTTGCAGCGGTTGCCAATATGGTGGAGATGGTATTACTGGGCTTCTCCAGTTGCTTGGACGCTCAACGGCCTTGTGACATCTCAACTTGGGGACAACACTAGCCTCCTTGAGATACTAGGGCAGGACTTCAGACCTTCAGTGAAACAGTTCCTTAAGGATTTCCTAGGCTATGATCAGGATTTTCTCCCCTTCGTTATAATAGTCCACATTGGTTTCGCTTGCCTTTTCTTTTTCGTATTTGCCTACAGCATCAGGTACTTGAACTTCCAAAGAAGATAACGAGAGCTGGAAACTAACACTTCCACTAGAAATTCGAAAAAGCGGCATAGTTAAAGCAGAGTCTACGATGCAGAGGAGTAAAAGATAACTCCTCTTTTTTCTTTCTAAATTTTGCGCATGCATCATTTCTTGTATTTTTGTTGTACAATAGTCAATAGATACAGTATGTGTATACACATTTTACCAGATCTTTATACTGACATGATTACTTTTCCAAATGTTTGATGCACCCGTTTTGTTGCCGTTCTTGTACCACATTTGGGAATGTATTTCCGAGTTCAGACAGTTTCATATATATAGGATATTTCAACAATGGGTGTAAATAAATTGATATGGGTGAAAATAGAAACTTTTCCTAACTGATAAAACTGTAACAATGAAACACTTTTTGAGGTAAAGCTGAGAATCTCAATCACAATTATACTCAAATTAATTCAATTCAAAATGGGTGACCAAGAAGCAAAAGAGAGAGTAGTTTGTTGCATTGGAGATCTTCATGGCTATATCTCCAAGCTTCAAAACCTTTGGTCTAATCTTGAATCTGAAATTGACCCAGTTTGTTTCCAATCAGCTCTTATTATCTTCTTAGGTGATTACTGTGATCGCGGTCCTGATACGCGAAAAGTAATAGATTTCTTAATCTCTCTTCCTTCTAAATACCCAGACCAAACTCATGTTTTTCTTTGTGGTAATCATGATCTTGCCTTTAGTGCTTTTCTGGGAGTTTTGCCTTCACCACCAAATGGGGGTTCTTTTTCTGACACTTGGAAGCAGTATGAACAACATGAAGAAAGAGAAGGGTGGTATAAGGATGTTGGGTATGAAGAAATGCATCTTCAAGGGAGAAGATGGGCTGGTAAGATTAAAGAGAGAGTTAATCATGCTAAGGGGACAGAGTATAATGGTTCGATTTACGACGCGGGGACTACATTTCAGTCTTATGGTGTTCCTCATGGTTCTGCAGGTAACATGTTTGATCATTTGCTTCTGTGAAGGTTTAGTTAATATCAAGTTACCTTTTGAGTTTTGATTGAAGTGATAATCTGTTTTTTTGTTTTTTTTTTTCCAAATTGTGAAGAATTGGTTGAAGCTGTCCCTGATGAACACAAGAAGTTTCTTGCCAATTTGGTTTGGGTTCATGAAGAGGTCAAGCTTCTCTTCCCCTTTTATTGTCATATTTTGATGAGCAATTGAGGTATAAATCTGAGGTTAATGTGTTTTTATTGGTTATGTGGCTGTTTACAGGATAATGTTTCTATCCAGACTTCAGAAGGGAAAAAGAACTATAAACTGATTGCTGTTCATGCTGGCCTACAAAAGTCGATAAGGGTTGAAGATCAGTTAAAGCTTTTGAAAGGCAAGGACACCAGTGTGCCAAAGGTGGCTGCTCTTAGTGGGAGGGCAGACGTCTGGGACATTCCAGAGGTAATTAACCGAGTTTCTTTTGTGGATTATTATTGTGTTTTTCATACACCAAAGACTGCAGAAAGGTTAATCAGTTACTTAAACGTCAGAAGTGTGTGTTTTATATATATTGTACATAAGTGCTCAACAAAAATATGATAATTTCTATCTAAAACTCTCAATAATATGAAAACTGATCCACATCTTCCACACTTTACCTTTGTTTAATCCCTTGTACAATCACATAAACTGTAGCATTTGTTCAGAATGTTAAAATAATTCTCAAGAATAGTTGTAAAAGCTAGAATTTTAATGATAAATTAAGGGGGAACTAGTATGTAGCATGATTTAAGAAAAACACACAATTTAGTTGTTTAAATTAGCTATCTGATCTTCTTCTAAAATCTTTCTTTGGTGTATGTTGTGAAATCGGTATACCAGGTCTATACAGGCACCGAACAGAAGTTATTGGTAAATATTAATCAATTATTGCCTGGAAACTTTAACTTGTTAATAAATTCTTCTCATCATTAGTATCTGTGTTTTGGTAGGAACTAAAGGAGAAGCCAATTGTTGTGGTAAGCGGTCACCATGGAAAGCTTCACATAGATGGTCTTAGGTTAGTTATTGATCAAGGCGGTGGACTTGAGAAAAACCCTATTGCTGCAATTGTATTCCCCTCGCTGATGATAATTCGTGACAGTGATGTGAAGGCGGCCCAGCTTTAGTTTTATCTACTTTTCTCAATGTATCGCGATTATAATTTTAAGGTACATAGTGGCTTTGTTTTTTTGTTTCAGATGAAGATAATATGTAAGTGATGTTTTTATGGAACCATGTACTGCATCATGTATTCATATCGTACCGTATATGGTATATCATGTAAACAATAAACATTTCAGTGAACATCATAGAGACATAGACTGTTATGGTTGAAATAT